AGGGAAAGATAATTCATCGGTTTCAAAATACGAGCAAAAGTTGTAAATATATTTTATTTTAATTACTACTCCGATGTTAGGAATTTTTCTTCTTAAAATAATATTACTTTTAAAAAAAAAGTTTTAAGATTTAAATAATTTCTTTTTTTTGGGGGGAAAAATAAAAGGTCGTGATAATGATTCATTGATTTGCAAATAATGAATTTGTCAGCAAATTTTGTGTTGAAACTGTGTTTTCATACGGAGAAAAGAGTCAATAGAGCAGAAACCGACAACGACGCTTCCAGGCGTAAGGGCTAAAAGCCTTAAAACATGCGTATATTCTTAACTTTTCCTTTGGGACGCTGATATATACCATCCAAATTCAGTATTAGAAGGATAAAATTTAATTTTACAAACTTTAAAAGTAATTAGTATTTAAATTTTAGAGACATGACCCTTCAAAACATTTTCACGTAGTGAACAGTCTTCATATGATATAAACGATATATTTTTTTTATTTTCTGAAACAAAATACACAAAAAGAATTTCATCCCTAAAAAATTATTAAATGATAGGAAATCTTAAAAAACAAACCTTACAATCGTATACAAAAAGCTTATACTTAATTACTCAAAAAGAGGGAGAATTTGCTAAGTCACTATCGTACAGAAACAAAGTAATAATTAATCAATAATGAAGAATTTCCGTGGATTTATAAAGGGAGGGACAATAGGGTACCCCAATAACTGAAGAAATCCAAATCATTTCATCATAATGACCGATGGGCTAAACCCTATACATCACCAAAGAAAATATCAACCTTTTGTATGGGGAAGTTCTACTTGTAACCCCAAAATCAAAAGCACAAGGGAAGATTCCAAAAACAACTTTCAACACTGTAAAATATTCATCATAGTACATCAACAATCCCATGCAATATATATGTATACATGCTAAAGACAACTATGATACATCATTCTCCTTGGATATATATATATACGCATGTATAGTTTTCAATGCAAACAGATGAAGGATCAAAAAAAATATATATTTTGATTTGTTTGGATATGTATGACATCTTACACCACAAATTTGGGTTCATGTCTTCTTTGCATGTCTGCATGCACATGCACATCCACCGATTGGTAATTTTGTTTTGCATGCACACACAGCTATTTCCTCATTTCTTGCTTCAAATATACGACTAAAATAAAACACCATTGGACTCTCTTTCTTATTCTTCTTCTAAACTATGGCGTGAAATAAGAGATATTAAAAAAAACAGGGCTTCTTGTTTTACCTTGAACGCTGGTTTATACAGCAGGGACAGAGCCAAAACTATATCTCAACAGAGACTGAATATTTTTAACAGCTTTAAGTTATATATATAATTTTACTTTTATTATTTGTTTATTTCAAAAAATATAAATGATAACATCAAATACGTATAGTTCTATATTTATATGAAATAACAAATTAAAAATTAAAGTAAATAATAATAAAAAATACGATTTTAAAAAGTGCAAAAGACATAACTATCATATAATCACAATAAAACGCGTCATTCTTTCAAATCTCTAAATGCATCCACGAGCGATGTTGTACTAAAACTCCTTTCAATATCTCTTTCAATGTTGACAAGCATGCAACTCTAAAAAAAATCATCTTCCATTTTGTTGTGAAGTGTTGTCTTGATGATATTCATTGTAGAAAAAGCTCTTTCAGCACTTGCTGTAGAAATTGGGAGAGTCAATGGAAGTTTTACCGTTCGGAATATATATGAATAATTGTTCACTTTCCTAGTATCCACCAACCACTGACTTAGGTCAGAGATTGTCAACAATTTTCTTAGACATGGATTCCAAGATAACTCCACCTCATAATGACACAATTCTGTTCATAAATTATTCTTTTCAACTTTCGTGAAATCCTTCGGGTAAAGTTTATTCACAAGATTGCAAATGTCTTCAACCTTGAAAATTTTGTCACCATCTCTTGGCTCCAAATCACAACCAAGAGTTAATAACCCTATCGATTTCTCATTAAGTCTACTGTTTAACTCTTGTAGTTGAACATCAACTGTAGCATAAAAAATTTCTACTCGATAATGATGTTCAACTGTAAAATGATCTTGTTGGCGACGAGTGCGACCTCCTCTTTCTATATAAATAGAACTCATATCTGGGATATCTATGTTGCGACTTTCACAAAATGAGGTAACCTCCATAAAAAGATTATTTCATCCATCATCTCTAAATTTCTGCAAATGTATCTTTGAATTCTCAACAAGATGTAGTAAATTCAAAATATCATGAGATTTTCATTGTAATGATTGATAAAGTGAATCAATGATTTCTAATATTTTCTTCATAAGATGTAAAATGAAGACAAAATCAAAGGAATCCAAAGTCTTTAAAGCTGTCGTCGCTTCTCCACGTTTAGAATATATATTTCCTTCATCAATGAGTTTATATAGAACAACACAAGTGGCACTAAACATTTTTATCAAGCTTGAAATTGATCTCAAGTAAGAACCCCATCAAGTATCACTTGCCCTCTGCAAATTACTTGTTTGATTCAAACCAGTTCCAGTTTCAAGTTGTTCTTCTTCAATCAAATGATTTATCTCGTCAGAATAAGCATTTTTTAGTTCATCGATGCATTTATATGAGGCAAAAATAACATTGATAATAAAGGATAACTTGGAAAAAATTGATAAACAAGTATGACCTCTTTCGCTGCATCTATTGGTGCCAATTGTAAAAGATGGGGAAAACAATGCACATAGTAAGCAAAAGGACACTCATTAAAAACTAATGCTTGTAACTCATTCCACTTTCCTCGCATGTTACTTGCACCGTCATAACCTTGACCTCGAATATTCTTTATGTCAAAGCAATAACGAGAAAGAGTGGAAAATATCTCATCTTTTTAAATCACTAATGAAGTATTAGGAACATGAATAATGCTAAAAAAAGTTCTTTTACTATACCAAAATTATAAATGTATTGTAAAATAATAGTCATTTGTTGTTTTCTTAATACATCCCATGATTCATAAACAATAACACAATTTTTCTTCACCAATTTCTTCAGGAATTGCTCTTTTAATTTTCTCTGTCAAAATATGTAAAATCTCCTTTTAAATCTCAGGCGAAGTGTAAGTAGTATTTTTTGGAGCATTTTCTAATACAACTTTTTCAACATCTTTATCATAAGAAGTTAATTGTTTCATGAGTTCAAGAAAATATCCTCGGTTAGATGAAGATTCACTCTAGTCATGACCTCTCATTGGCAGCCCTTGTAAAGCTAGCCAACACAATGCATCTATAGAGGTTTCAAGTCTAAGCCTATTATTAGCAATTTGTAATGATGTTTTCTTATACAACACTTGTGGAAGGTGTATAGAGTGGTTAAGAAAATCCTCCAAATCTTGCTTAGCAATTTTATAAGGTGAATTAGGTTCTGAACCTACATATATATTAGAATAACAACTTTTTTTCATTTACTTTCTTCCAATTTCGAAACTCATTCATAGTGAAAGTCTTGTGTGATGGATGACTATCTGGTTTGTTGAAAAGAAATCAAATAAAATAGAAAACATCATCATTTTCAGGAGAATATTCTAACCATGAACGAAAGTTTTGTACCAGGAAGCTTGAAATCGACGAGGGTGAGAAACATTTCCAGATTTTTTGAATTCCAAGAGTAATGGTTGATATGGACCCTCGATAATATAAGCTTTTCGAATTGCATTTCTTTCTTGTTAAGAAGGATATTCTCATATTTGTTTGCGCTTACCAGGATCTCGCTCCTAGTAATTAGAGTTGGTACTTGGTTTCTGATTTATAGCTATCTTAAAGGTCTATCTTCCGAAGGTAAAATGTCAATAGGTGTACCAGTTGAAGTTTAAGTTGTTGTACTTGTATTTTTTGAAGTTTCCCCGCTTTTTCTCTTAAAAGACTCAATAATTGTTGGATTTTTCCCATGACAAGCTGCATTTATATAAATTTAATTCAAAAACATAAAAAAAATCAAATTTAGTAATCACCATTCACCTTAATAATTATTAGATTAACTCAAGGAATACTAAAATTAAATATAAGATCAAATCATTCTAATTAAAAATAATAAATATAATATTATTTAATTATGTACCTTTAAAAACTGAGTGTCGAATAATGGAGAATCAGATTAAAGCAATATTGGAGGAGCTCTAGTCGATGGGAGGGTGGTTAACTCAAGGTTTTTCTATGAAAGATTTTAATAATTTATTCTATTTATAAGCCTTTTATTAGCTCGTACAATTATATTAGTACTATTGTAAAAAAACATAAAACTGGTTTATACATTAGCTAAATTTTAGAATCCGTCGTTGGTGATAAATGCATTAATCGGCCAATGTTGGCAACATGTTAATATTTGAATGGTGAAGAAAAAGAATGATGCATATGTTAAATGCATGTATGCATGGGAAGAGAGATAGAGAAAGAAAAGGGTAAGGAGGCAGAAGGAAGAGGGGCAGTTTGGATTGAGAATATGTATGAAAGGCACAGAACATGAGGCGAACAATAAATGAAAGAGGTGTGATAAGACTTATGATAAGCCTCATCATCGTCACGTCGTTTTACTTTCACCACTCCCCAAACCATCCCTTCCAGAATTCCACGCTTCTCTCTCTCTCTCTCTTTGCCTTTTATTTTCTTTTTTTCCTTTTTGTCCTCTCATCGTCTTCTTCAAATTCCCAGCAGCATCCATAACATACGTATTTAGTCATTAGTCAACCTCCTTCAAACAACTCCTCTCTGTCCTCTTTGCTTTCTCTCATCCATCCCTTTCTCTTCAACTCCTCAAACTCTCCACCCCCTTCCCCTTTTCTTTCATTCCATCTTATATACCAACGACTCCTTGTTTTTCAAAATTAGGGCTTTTCTTTTCTTTTCAACCATCATCATCGCCATTGCCAAACTTCGCATGCTTCGTTAGTTCTTTTCCCTTTTTCTACAATCTCATCACCGTTTTATAAACTCCTTTTATCCTTTCACGGCAACGAAAGTGACTGTGAGTGTGAGAGCTCATTTAAACCCCTCCCCTTTTTTTTATTAAACCCTAAAACTATATTACTGCTGGTGAAGATGTGGATGATGGGCTACAATGATGGTGCCGAGTTCAACATGCCTGATTCCTTCAATGTTAGGAAGCTCAGGCCTTTAATTCCTAAGCCGATATCTTCTCCCAACAACTCTCCTTGTCTTAACCGTATCAATGGCTCCGACTTTTTTGCACTGAATCATCACCTAAGTACGTTTTCTTCTTCTCCTTTTTCGTCCTTTTCATGGTTATATATGCATGCTTGTGGCGCCAAATGTTGTATCGCTTTTTCCCGCAGGTATGGGAGAACAAAACAAGAGGGAGTTCAATACACAACCAGCAGTTGTAGTGAGCTCGAGGTGGAATCCAACGCCGGAGCAGCTAAGAACACTTGAAGAGCTTTACAGACGAGGCACTCGAACCCCGTCGGCTGATCAAATTCAGCATATAACAGCGCAGCTCCGTAGATATGGTAAGATCGAAGGGAAGAATGTGTTCTATTGGTTCCAGAACCACAAGGCAAGGGAACGCCAGAAACGACGCCGGCAGATGGAATCATCTCAAGATGAACACGTACGCGAACCCGACACCTTGGAAAGAAAGGATTTGGGTACATTAACTAATCTTAAAAGAATCATGTTAAAGTTTATCCATTGGCAAACAGACAAGGCACATACATACAGTCATGTTCATCTTTTGCATATCATATCATATGCATGTGTATGATATGAATGAATGGCCTGTTTTTGCAACAATTTGTTTTCTTTTGATAAATTAGGTTTACTTTCTTTTCTCTTTTTGCATTCATATTCCATTTGTTTGTTTGGAGAGAGTAAAGTTGCATTCTTTTTGGTTTTTGTTTATGTCTCTGCAGAATCGAATAGGACAGCTTATGAAGTTGAACAGACCAAAAACTGGGCACTCCCTACAAACTGCAGTATACTAGCAGAGGTCTATATCTATCTCTCCATTCCATTCCATTCCTTTTTCTTTACCTTTTGCTTCATTTGTCTTTCTCCATAGCCAATATAGACATGTCCATACAACATTTTCATAAAAGTAATCCAACAATTCTACATACAATTACGTTAACAGGAACCCTAATCAGTTCTTAAAACCGGATTACATTAACATGAACGAGGATTAGAGTCAAGGCTTTATATGAATCTCTCTTTGTGCATGTATATATATAATATCCGAAGGAAGAAGAAAAGTCCTTGAATTGTTGGGAAATGAAAAGGGCTTAAAAGCTGCATTCCTTCCTTCTGTCGGGGCTGCTGTTATTAAACGAGTTGGATTTTTTTGGGTGCTGTGCTCGATATTTATTCATGGCATTCAGGCTAGATATTGATTTGAGCACCCCCTCCGAAATCCATATATATATATATATATATTGTCCTGACAATGAAAAGACTTGGGCTCACCCCGATAGTACAATTTGTCATCTCATACAGCCTATATCAGCTTTGAACCATTTGTTCTTTGATTTGAATGGAATGTAAAAACCCGTCTTCCTAATAAAAACAGAAGTTTCTCCAGACTTGATGTCACCATATATACAGACTATACAGTATCGTATTATCTCTGTTCTGGGAATATATTTCATTTACTTTCTGATTAAAATGTATTTTTTATGTTTATATGTTATGCAAATTATTTAGTGATGATTTGTCCAACACCAAGAGAGAGAGATTTAGTATATTATTATTATTATTAGATAATTTAAATTTTATATAATTTGTATATGAAATATTTTATATTGCGATATTGATAACTATTTACTGTCATCAGGAATCTACATCAATACAAATGGCAGCAAAAGCAGCAGTGTCAGAGTGTATATGGCAGCAAAAGCAGCAGTGTTATCAGGAATCTGTATCAATACAAATGGCAGATGGATGGATCCAGTTCGACGAAGGGGAATTACAGCAGATGAGAAACTTTGTTGAAAGGAATGACACGTGGCAGCAGCACAAGATGCAATTCCCTTACCCTCGTTGCCTGTCTCCTAGTTCTAGCCCTGTTACTGGTCTTAGCTCCACTACGCCCACGGCAGCGATTAGCACTGCCACCACCGTCTGCCCGATCAAACCAATGGACCCAAAGCACCACAACTTTTTCAAGACGCATGATCTCAACATCTTTAAATCCCCTTGCAGGCAACATGCCAATGTGCTTGACCACTTCAGCTTTGCTAGAAACCATGAAGCCTCCGGGGACGACTCTCAAACCCTACAACTCTTCCCTCTTCGTTCTGATAACTCGAAGGAAAAGGAGAACGAGATATCCATCGCAACCGTGCCTACGACCGTCAACCTAGCTCCTAACTGCCAGTTTTTTGAATTCCTTCCTTTGAAGAACTAAAAATCATTGAAGACATTTTTTTTTACTTAATTTGCTATGTAGGTAAAATTAGAAATGTTGGTTAATGTTTAGGTTAATGTAATGTTTTTTTTTGTTCGAAATTAGGAACTGTGTTCTTTCTTTGTTGTGATGTTACATTTCATGGAATGGGTGCAATGGGAAAATTGTGGGATATGAAGGAAGGGTTGTCATAAATTGCATTTGGACCATGTTTAAAGACTAAGACATCGTCGTATGAATTAAGCTATCTCATTTTAGACAGATATTTATTTTTATATTTCGAAGTCTCATATTCAATCACCACATATATTAGAGTATAAGTTTTTTATTGTCAAAAAGTAGATAGTATTGGACAGGTACCGGTATGTAAATGGTTGTTCCTTGTTCTCATATGTAATGGGGTAAGGAGGAGGTAAGATAGTAGCATGCCCCCAACACTAGGTTGAGAGCAGCTTTCGTAGGAGACCTCCGAATTATGAAATGCCCTCCATGGGACTCGATCCCACGACCTCAATGTTAAGAACCTTGTGCTCTACCAACTGATACCGTGATTATTATTATTATTTGGTGACACTAATCTTTATATTGATACCGTGATTATTATTATTTGGTTCTTTTTCATACTATGTTCTTTTTTTAGTTTTTTCAATTTTAAATAAGAAACTCTATCTTTGTGAAATGTTTTTTCTTTGTTCTTGTGATACGTTCCTTATGGCTTTTGATACTTTTTTCACATACCTATACGGTTGTGTTGGTGCTTGCACAAAGATACTCACGACATTTGTTTTAAGATTAAGTTGTCGATAGTCACATATTGTTAGATAAAATGTTGTTTGTCGATATAATCAGGATTGTATAGCAAAATATCCTATCAAATTGATTGGTTCGCTCACCACTCCTTTATCACTTCATAAAACGGTTCGTTCATCAGAGATAAAGAATTTTATGAAGGTTACTGAGTTCTTTTGATATTGGACGTTATTCTCAACGGAAGATTTCGTTTTTCTTCGTATATTTGTGTTTAATATTTTTGTTTTATGTATGAGTTTTTTGTGTGATTATTGTCTCATTTTTCTTTCTATATTTGGGTCCTTCCATTACTTTTATTAATGAAATCCACTCGTCATTGTTAAAAAAAATTAGATTGAAACCTATATCCCTAAACAAAAAAGGGAGTGCTGTCTAAAACGAAAACCAAAACTTGAGAGACGTATTCACATCCAAGGAAGATAATGTCCGATTAATGGTGGTAAATGGTAACTGAGGCTACAAGGTCTAGGTAGATATTGCAGGTAGCCCAAAGGAGATTGGGTTAGTCCATAATTAAATTCACTACTTTTGACTTACCCATATGTTCAAAGCTAAAAGGATTTTTACCCTGAAACGTAGCTCCATGTTCCACCTAAAACTAAACCCATGACCTATAAGATGCTACGCTTAGCTCCATTGGGAATACAATACCCTCCCATTAATGTCTCACACCTAACAACAAACTGCATTCCCAAGATAATACACTAAGGTGACGTTTGGTTCGTTGAAATATTTATGAGGGAATTAAAAACTGTGAACGAATTTGAATCTGTGAAGAAATTGGAATATGTGAAGGAATTGGAATATGTCATGAATTAGAATCCAATTCCATATTTTGTTTGGTTAGAAGGAAATTGAATTGAAATCTAATTCCATATTATGTTTGGTTCTCAGACATGCCACGTGAATTTGATTTCAGTAATATAAAATGACAGAATTACCCTTCTTATATTTTTACTTAATTTTAGTTTGTTTTATAAATTAAATGTAGCAATATATTATAAAAAAAATTTTAAAAATTAATTTTAATTTTATTGATTGCTTGATTATTCATTTCAATAAATTATAAAAATCATGCTAATAAACATCATAAGTTAAAATCATCCCAATTAGGGATGGCCATGGGTCGGGTTTTTGGTCCACCCGACCCGAGAACAAGAGAATCTCCATCCGAGACCCAACCCAACAAAAATAAAGTTTCTCCCGACCCGACCCGAATATATGAATTAGAAATCCGACCCGAAATAATAAAAAATTATTTTATTCAATAAAATAGTGACTTAATTGGAAATATATATATAGGGGTATTATTATAATTATTCCTAAATATATAAGGTAAAATTATATATATTTTTGGGTCGGGTCGGGTATTTTTCACCCACCCCGACCCGACCTGTAACAACCCAAAAAAAATAATATTTAAATTGGTGAAATTTGGTGACTAAATTAAAAGTTTTCAAAAGTTATAGGTCATTTTAGAAGTTGAAGGAAATTCAGGAACCAAGCCTTGAATTCCTCCAAGGAGTGTCGACAGGCTTGTATTATAAGCGTGTTTTCTAATTGAAATAAGAAAACACATGCTTTATTTGCTTAAACTTTCTTCCTCCCGTACCTCTACTTTCAAGCTCAATTCCGACGCCGTTCGACTTCCAATCGTAAAATTGAAACCACCATCGTGTTCATCGTCGACCCGTAAACAAAACCCAGTAAACCAATTTTAGCGAAACGCTGCCAAACGCAGTGAATTTCGAGTCAAAGTATCGACGTTTTTTTAACACCACCGCCGGGAAAATCTTAAATTCATCTCCGATCGTTGATCGGTTTTCGACACCTCCCGCACTAACGTGTTCCTGGTGTCGTTCCGAGCCCGACAGTGTTGTCATTGTCTCCGTAGGCGGCGGCGCGTGTGGGAGGTGGAGCGGTCAAAGATTCAGCCGAGTTGAAATCGAGCTCTCCACCGTTCAAAAAATTGAACCGAGGTTGGTAAGTGACTCAAAATCGCTTAAAATATTTTTTGCAAATTTTTGCAGTAATTTTTAGAGATCGGAGGAGGTCCCGTGCGCCCCCACTCGCCGTCCTTGCACGTGGGGAAAGATGTGAATGGCTGGGTGATGTTGTGACCGGTCTGACCCGACCCGTTGACCGACCCGACCCATTGACATTCTGGGAATTATTTTAAAAAAGGTGATATTATGAGAATTATTTTAAAAATGTGACATTTTGGTAATTATTTTGGAAAAAAGTGACATTCGGGGAATTTTGTGAAAAAAATGACATTCTAGGAATTATTTTGAAAAAGGTGACATTCTGGGAATTATTTTAAAGAAAGGTAACATTCTATGAATTATTTTGAAAATTGTAACATTTTAGGAATTTTTGAATGTGGACTATTGAACCTGTTTGACCATAACTTTGACCGGATTTAAACGGCTATTAAATTACCTTTGATTTTGTTCGAGTATACCTATTCTGACATTTTTCGACGTGCCGAATCCGTTTCCGAAGTCCGTTTTTCCAAATTTGAACCCGAAAGCCTCCAAATCATTAGTCAAACCCATTGACTTTGAGTTTATCAAGAATTTGAATTTTCGAAAAGTCATACTTTTTGATTTTTGACGTCGTGATTCCGATTCCGTAATCTGTTTGGTCAAATTCAGACTCGAAATTCTCCAAATTAATAGTTAAACCCGAAAAATGATTATATACTTGAGAATTTTAGCTTTGATCAATTAAGTAAGACTTGGGGTTGATAAATTATTATTGTTTGAAGGTACAAGAGACTCTCTGGATCGTTCGACAGCTCGACCCAGCTCTTATAGATCAGTTAAACCACGTGTGCAAGTATTCACCCGTAAGACCCGTAAATTTTATGATTTTAGATATTAATTATGTTACCCATTAGTAATATAGTGTTATTATAAATTAGGTTCGAAAACTGTAGCAGAACGTGGTGAGACCAGCAATTAGTAGATCTACTACTTGAACCTATTATCGAGGTGTGTTTCCTATTTATTACTGAACTGTTTTATTTGTTTTAATATGTGGTACACTGAATTCTTTGGTTAATGTTTTATTGATGCACCGATTTAATGTGATGGTTTATGGATTATGACCGCTATCTGATTTTGTTTTGAAATGGTATATAATTACCATGTTTATGGATTTATGGAATTTATGTCACGGTGCAATTGAATTTTTGGAATACGAATTTATAAAGTACAACCCTGATCAAGCTAGAAAATTTTACGGACCTAATGTGACTCTTAGGTAGGCTCTACGGCCCTGAGATCATTCTCGGATAGGCCCTGCGGTCCTAAGATGTGTTCTTAGGTAGGCCCCACGGCCCCAAAATCTATCTTGGGTAGGCTCTCAGGCCCTAAGATGTTCCCTTAGAATAACTCTTTTATGAGATTTACTGCAGTATACTTTTTATGAGATTTATTGGACTATGATTTGTTTAGTGTACCTATCATGATTTTATAGTAATGTTGGGACACACTGAGCCTAGCTCACTTTTCGAAAATGTTTTCCCCTTTCAGATACTGTTGGTTAGATTCCTGATTAAGCACTTGGAGGATCAACATATCTCTTAAAGTATATCATATTGTAATGTTTTATCTTTTAAGTTGACACTATTTTAGTAACATATGCCTTATTTTAAAGTATTAGATTTTATAATGATTACTCATTTCCTATTTATATTTGGTTTATCGTAAATTTGGATTTTTAAGACATGTTTAAATTAATTTGTATTTTTATAGTATAAATTACTATAATTTCATAAACGCCATTTATAATGTGATTTTATCATGATTGAATAATGGTTTCAGAACAATATCTTTAAGAATCATGAATGTGATTCACTAGACTTAGTCGAAATGCATAGACCGGGTCTAGGGGGTTACACGACCCGAATATATGAATTAGAAATCCGACCCAACCCGACCCGAAATAATAAAAAAATATTTTTATTCAATAAAAATAGTGACTTAATTGAAAAACAATTATATATAGAGGGGTATTATTGTAAAAAAATTAGCTGACCCTTATTCCCATATGTAATGGGGTAAGGGAGAGGTAAGATAGTAGGCTGCCCCCAACGCTAGGTTGAGAGCAGCTTCCGTGGGAGACCTCCAAATTATGAATTGTCCACCGTGGGACTCGATCCCACGACCTCAAGATTAAGAACCTTGTGCTCTACCAATTGAGCTGGATAGGCAACTCAGAGGGGTATTATTGTAATTATTCCTAAATATATAAGGT